CTTAAGATCAGTGTGACAGGCCCTTTAAGTCCTACAAGCTCGTACTGTATCTGGCGTTCAATTTAGGCCTATGTTCAACATAGACACAGTTATGTGTCCAGTCCAGTTATGTGTAAAACCAGTCTATCAACTTGGTTCTTTTGAGTAGATTTTTTTAGTGTTTTTGAGGGTTTTTGAACCGTGAAAACTTGTATTATCACTTTCTTTTATCTTGAAGATGCCCGTGACAGTGTCGTCTGTAACCTCTGTAACGCCCGTGCGAAATAGAGAGTCATGTGCTGGCTCTAGTCCAGCCTGGCTTCTTAGAGTGATGTAAGTGATGGCTTCTTAGAGTGAGCCTAGAGTGATGTAATGTTATAATAGAATACCAAAGCCAAAGAGAATTGCCTTGAAAACGAGTGAATCAGCTGGCATACATCTTGTAAGTTCATCACTTCATTTGATGTAAGCATTTCAGCAGTTTGTGTTTGTAATATTGTAAGCTACTTCATACTCTGATATTTCACCACGACCTCTCTTTAACAGCTTGAGAGGGGGATCTTATAGGGCCAGATGTAGAAACTGTCTGAGCTGAGTAGGCCTATATTGTTAATTACTGGTAGTGAGTAAAATCAAAGACAATATACCATTGGTTCTATCGTCTGTGGCATAATAAAATACAGCGATACTTGCCTCAATATGAATAATCAATCATTTAAAGACATTTTCAACTGCGATATTTGCCAAAATATGGATCCTATATCCTATAATATAAAACAAGCGCATGTACGGGCAAACTTTTTTTCTGTCCAAGGATTTTTGAATTTTTCATTATTATGGCTATTTGGCCACGAGAAATCGATTGGAGTTTGTCACAAGGCTGGGGAAAATCCAGTTACCGTTCTACGCCCCTTGAAAGTGTCCATGTTATCACGAATGGCTGAAATTAACAAAAACAGCTGATACAGATTATTTATACTGCTATTATTTTGAGTTACGTGTAAACAAAAATAACTGTATTGGTTAGTTTGGATTAATGTTAGACGTTTTCAAGGTTAATTAACTAGATTAAGAATGAAGACCTTCGAAGCGAATACAGTGTAAATAATCCAAAAAAGAGAGAAGCTAGTACAATCGATATTTAACAAATTTCACCTCCTCATCCACAACCGACCCAGATCCAATCAGCTCATACATCTCACAAAATGTCTCAAAACCTTGGTCAAGTCGCGCATCGAAGAATGAAAGGAGAGAAATAATTAAAGATCTCGTGACCGTGCAAAGGTATAACAGCAGGCCGATCATCTTGAGCAGGAGTGTCGACGAATCGCTGCTCGACGTTTGGAAGAACCTCAGCGCACTGCAATTCCTCAAACCTCTAAAGTCGCCATGTCAGCGGATTTTGGATATTCACGATTGGAACCGTTTGACGTGTCATGAATGAACACGACGTGTGTCCAAACTGATCCGCGGTCAGAGGGTATTTCTTTAACATCCAAACTGATCCATAAATCTGGCAGGTAGAAAATGGGGTCGCTTGAAACCTCCAGTTTGATCCGCGAGGCATTGAGGATAGCCCCTTCTCCTCGTAGCCTACAGGCCTACAGGTAGCCTTAAACACACTATTCTGTAGCATTTCATAATTACTGCCCATTTTAAATTCAAAACGTCAAAAAATTATGAGCTTTCAGTTTATATAATTGTACAGTTACGTCAGTGGTTAATATTAAAACGAAATGTTATTACTCAAGTCACGGTACTGCAAATAATCTAAATGGTATGATCTATGGAACGGGTGTAAGACACACAGTTGATATTATTTCAGTGATTATATGTTTTTGGTTTTGTAACATAAGTATATGTTTGAAAATGATAGAATGTGTATGGTCATGATATTATTTCAACTATGAAACCCAATTAACCACAACCGAGCAAGGCTCGGTCCCCCGGTACTAATCGATAAAATAAAGGCAATGTGTTGTAAATTTCCAGACCAAAGAATACTCTCGTGAAAGATGTTTACTTTTGAAATCACGCTTGAAGTCTATACCGAAATACAAGGCAAAATTGAAGCAGCATTATGTTGTCATACGTTGTTTCTATTGGGTTTTATTTTAACATAATTGCCAAAATTTGAGTTCCATTACTTATTATATAGGTAGTTGCGTAATATACGGCTAACCAACTGACAACTGGACATTTTGGAGGTAACTTAGCCTAAACCATAGAATAAAGGGTCAGACTAAAGTTGTACTAAACATTATAAAGACTAATACATTTAAATTTAGTTATACATTTCATTATTATACTTACCGTACTTACTTACTTACTCTTGTGGCCATTGGAAACCTAGGTGGTTTTTGGCCTCGCCAACCATGTGCCTCCAAGCTCTTCTATCCTCTGCCAGCTCCAAGTCTGCTCCCATTCCTCTCAAGTCCTTCGTCACCTCATCAACCCATCGCATTCTTGGTCTACCTAATGGTCTCCTTCCTTCTGGTATACCTCTGAGTACCATCTTTACCATCTCTCTCTCACTTCTACGGTTAATATGGCCCATCCATCTCAACCTCCTACTCTTAACTATTCCCACAATATCTGGTTCACCATATAATTCTTTTAACTCTCTATTTTTCCTTATCCTCCATGCATTTCCTTCTTTTACTGGTCCAAAAATTCTTCTCAAAATTTTGTTTTCAAAAGTAATAAGGCGCTTCTCGGATTTTTTGGTAAAAGACCAAATTTCTGACCCGTATAGCAATACAGGTTGCACTATAGTTTTATACATTCTTATTTTAGTGGTTTTTGATAGCAGTTTGCTTTTGAATAATTTTATTAAACTTCAGTATGATCTTTCTGCTGCTGTGTGTCTGCTCTGAATTTCTATTTCTTCTCTATTATTGTTTGTGATTGTGATCATCACTCCCAAATACCTACTTAAAAATACTAGTTTTCTGGAAGCTATAGTTTAATACTTCTAAGTGGTCTTCCTCGTCATCTTGCCTACTTATTTTCATGTAGTTGGTTTTGTTTTCATTTATTTCATTATTATAGAGACTTGTTATTTTACGCTGCAAGTGACCTCTTCTAAGTACCTTCTTGCCCCTCGTCAACGACCAGACCGTAAAACACCCAATTAATTGCTATTACCCAATTAGCCAATATACCACGGAAACGCTTTTAATTAGCAATTATCCAATTTAACGTTGTGAGGCCCAATTTTCCAGTCGGAGCGAGGCCGGCGCGGACGAACTTACGACTACAGCAATAGGAATGTAGCAAAGTATATGGGGTAAAGATCATTTTACCCTAGACATCTTATTTTCCAGGGGTGAGTGTCCAAGTATAAATAACCCAGACTAATGTATTTATAATATCCACAGCGTCACAACGATGATGCAATCGTTATAGAAGATGGGTTTATTCCATGCGATGAAAGATTTATCAGGCGTAAGGTTTTTACTTTAGTATGCAAATTGAGTCTCATCCCTTATTAATCAGACAGCTGGTAACTGTACCAAGTTAAGTTTTCATTGGTTAAAAATAGCGGTGACTACCATATTCACCCATTACATTTTCTGAAATGTGAATGGCTATACGACTTGTGATGTTTTTCTTTGGGTTTAGATGTTTCTTTGGGGTTTATGTTTTTATAACATATTATCATGCTAAATTCGTACAATTTCGTGATATTTGTATTTTGTGCACGACCTTGTTGTATCAAGCCATTGTCATTATATTTTCATTTTAGCCACGTTTAATTATAAGCTGTTAAGTGAAGTCAATCTATCTTCAGTTGTAGACGTCCGCTCTTCATTCTTTATTAAAGAATGCATATTTTTATTTAGATGAAATTATAGGAGCCGTTTTTGAAATCATCGTGCAACATTTTTAAATGTTGCTGTTGGAAAATTTGAAAATAATGAAAATTTGAAACGACTTAGGACTTGGTAAGATTAATAGAAAATAAGAACAAAAAGGACCATGCTAAGAGCTCGAAACAAACTATTTCACAACCCCCTTTACAAAACCTCCTCAGTCATAAAAAAATCCCTAATAGAGTAAAAAACTATGTTGTAGCTTTACTCTCGTCGGGTTTTATTTTGGAGTTCCGACCCATACATCAAACGACGAACTTGCTGGGTGTTCTTGTTTTACATTAGATCACTATAATACTATAATAGTCGGTATATCGCAGGGTTGCGCCAACGATGTCAAGCACTACATCGTTGGGTGGCGCCCGGGCGCCCCACCCATACATCTGAACTTTTCCGGGACGTTTGCAATTGACAGCATTTCTTATAATTTTCTTAGAGCTAGGAAATCTTTAATTGTGTACTTTTTTAAATGAAGGATCTCTCTTGTCTGGCATCGACTTCACAATCCGAATCCCTAGGGCAACACGTTCCGGGACCATCTTCCGGAGAAGGTGCAATCACCACTACGCTTAGGCTACATGGCACTTATAGTAAATAAAAACTTCTTTATTTTAAAGATAAGACGTGTTCATATAGGCTAACAAATTAAAGATAAGAGGATCTTTAATGCTCCAAAACTAACACTTAAGCAAGTAAGAGCTAATTTTAAAATTCAAATTTATTTTTTTATATTTGTATTAAACAGTTGTAGTCAACCTTCGGTAACTGCGACTTGATAGTTTCCAGTACTATTGTTAAATATTTTGAAGCAGAGTTCACGATTTAAATTGAACAAAATTACTGAATCAGAATCGACTGTTTTATTTTAAATCAATTGTCATGCGATTGTTATTATTTACCCATATCCGTAACGACACTACAACAAAATCACTAATAAATTTACCTAATTAGGTCTTGTTCCCCTATAAAAAAATAAATATTCAACTAATTACGACCCTGAACTTCTTACGACGGAACTAATAGACTCGTTAACACTATGGCGCTTAGTTGCGTCCGGAACGTATGAATGGGTGTCTATATTGAACGGTGGTGGGGGTATTGGAGGGGAGGAACCGTCCGCCCGCCCCGCCACTGAAAGTTAGTTGGAAACAGGATGGCGTCTGTGTTGGTTCGGTGTCGTTTGTGTTGAGGGCAGGCCCAAGTCAGGCCTATACAGCCGTTCACATCTGGCAGACATCCCTCATCAAAATAACAAGGTATGTAGCCCAATCTGTTGTATCTATGCTAAACAACAGGTGATTATGTATCGTACGACCTGCTTAAACTACCTCTCACTTTTATGTTAGGTTATCGTTCTTTAAACTTAGAATATTTTAACTCGTATGATGAAACTATTTGAACGGTAACGTAACCTATACCTTTATCATAGACTAACCGAGTATGTTTTATCTACGTCTTTATGTTATACGTACACTAAAATTGTGCGTGAAAGTTGGCAGTAAGGGAGTCTTTTGATTTGCAATTTGTTATGGGTTGTTTCTCCATGTGCTCCCGCTTCGTAGTCCGTGTAACGTATTTTGTATAGCTTGCATTGCACATACAGAGTGTTAATACATTATCTTTCTCTTAATTAAAATGGTGGTTTTAATATTAAGATGTTAATTAAATTTAAACCTAAGTGATATGTTTTTTAAAGTGTTCTTCGCCTCACAAGGCATAACTTGCACATTAATTTCATCACCGTACATAAACTACAAAATTCACTAAAACGTGGATCATTCAATTACCAGAATCGTTAACATTTCGTAAGACATTCGCAAGACCGTAACTTAAGGACGTCCCTTTAAAACCGGTACGCTTTCTCAATCGGTGTATAATGGGGTGACGGTTGACTTTAAAAGGGCTGTAGCCAGAGAGGGGTGGGAGGGGATAAAGGCCTCGACCGTTAAACTTGGAGTGCAGTTTATTCAATATTCGAGTTTCATGCTGTGTCGAAATTGGAATTTCGCAGCGTCGGGATGCTTCGTCTGGCCGTATTGATCTTGCATTCGACGCCGGCGCCATCCACCTCCCTTTGTCTAAGCCCTTGCAATCAATTATCGAAATGCACTGCCTATTTGTAGGCCTCCTTTGAAACAAAAACTTTCATGACGAAAACTTTGTGTTGTCCAATATGCGTACGGGTTTACTTTAATTCGAAACTTACCAAAATCCCAAAAATAAAATACCTCAAATTCAAGGAACCTTATCAGTAAGTCTAGGCAGCATATGTTTGTATTATCAGTCTAGGGTTACCTCGCTGCCCAAAGGTCACTCTATGACTCTCACTGATGGTTTCAGATAGCCATTCGACACCAGACAGACTGACAGACTCCATCCCGACTTGGAAGGATACCACCGATAGTGTAGTGACAGTGAGTGTAGTGAAGTGATAGTGATGGAAGTGGAACCAGCCGGTACTGTGATACAAAGGATAACGGAGGATGAACCTCTGGACCTTCAGCCGGACGAACCTCCTCTCAAGAAGGTGTGCACGGGACATCCTGAACAATGTCAACCTGCTTCCTCCCCCTTAGGACTCCCTGGGGACTGTGAGCAGACGAGACTTCCCCTGGCGGCGTCCCTGGTCGCCGATAAGTACCTGATCCTGGACCAGTTAGATGGAAGTTCGTTGTATTCTTGTGTCAACGTCCACACCCAGGAAGATCTAGTCTGTAAGGTAAGGCCAACTTTTATGTCCAAATTATGTAGTCCATAGTACGGTAATTTTAAAGTAGGCCTATTTAACAATTTAGTTTGAGGCTATTTTTAGGTTTAAAAATTTACTGAAGCACTTGGCTGTTTATCAATTACAATGTTTTAGGGTCATCAAGACTTTAAAACTTACATTCTTTCTACATTCTTTGTTTAGCAATAATTATAATACTGGATTACCGGTATATATAGTCAATGATTATATTTAATTTCGTTATCATACGTCCGCGACGCTACCGGGACTGAGCCACCGACTCACTGAAAACTTAGCTTTTTGTAGCTTGTATAGGGGTTTAAAAAAATGACTTCAATTTTGTTATAATTAGGCCTATTAAAGGAATTGGGGGATCCCACTTCTGTTTTAATCTCTTAGTAGGCCTATGGGCTCTGTTCATAAAATCGCTTTATGAATGTAGTTACAGCAGTGGGTCGAAGTCTCTTATCTAACGGACCGGGGTCCTTATAGCCAGCAAGGCTGCTGCATTCATATGCAGATTGTTGCCTTGCTATCCTTGTGGCACTCTCCAAGGCCTTGCTTTATCTAGGTTATTTCACCTCTACAGGTTTATCCTTCTTCCTTCTTTGTCCTTCGTCCTTTACCATATTCATTGCCTATGTTGTCTACCATTGTTTATGACCGATTCAATACTGAGTTGACGATTGTTTGACTGCTTGCTTCACCGCAGTTGTGAAGGTATTGTTGCTGCAGGTAGGAGTAGATCCTTGTTGGAATTGAGGTTAACTATACAGTATTAGACAAAGTCACAATTCACAAACTAATAATGTATTTCAAACGTATCATAAGTTATCCTATACCATTTGCTCAACTCTACGCTTGACGAATTTCATTCTGCCATTTCCTTGAGTACGGTACTATTTGAGTTTATGAGTAGGGGGGAGACATTGAAGACATTTTTAATTTTTGCTTTGGGGATCCTATTTTTTATTTGTGCCGACATCTAATTGCCCTATTGCATTCTAATTTATGCCTAATTATTCTAATTTAGTAGGCCTAATTTGTTCTAAATTAAGTTGACAAATGCCCATTACCTAAATCAAAATGCGATAAATTATTTGAAAATTGTCCAAATTTTGATTTTGATACCCACACAAAGCTGGCCTGCTCCTTTGTCAGCAACAGTTCCTTCCCCAGACTACAAAGACGAGCGTCCCTTGTTCCCTGTATCTGAGGCAGAAGTTTTTTACTCTTTGTCGTGGGTTCGCGCCAACGTGGGGACAAAGCCAGGAACAGCCAACAGCTGGGACGGCCTTGCAATACGTGGCCTTCCCACCTGGTCGCGCCACCGTCGGTATTTTGACACCTCCACGCCAGGCGCCTGGCTAGCCATGCAGCCCACTTGTCCCGTATGAATATGAAATAGACTACACTATAGTAGATGATACGCGTAGAGAGAAATTACAAGGCCAGGTGTAGTGTTTTTAATATTTGCATTCAGTGCTTAGATAAAAACGACCACGTGTTCATAGCTTTGCACTCTCCGTGCCTCTTTCCCAAATCAGGCAGCCTGCATTTAACTTTAAAAAGTAGTTCAGAGTGCTAACATCTGTTCTCCTGTGGTGATCTTTCTTTCTAAAAATGCAACATAATTTTGTAGTCTACTAATAATTGGATTTTCTTAAAACCTTCTTTAACTTTTTCTTCAATCGCTTCAGTAAAAACTATGAATAAGGACACAATCATGTAAGTGTGTAACAAGCGTTTCATGTAGGTGTGACGTGCACACGTCATCTTAGCTTATACATTATGTGTAGGGGACATATTGCGGTGTATTCTTATTTATCACGTGTCTATGTCGTCCCCTTCCTCCTCTCTCTTCTGCCATTGACGTCAACTTGCGGCTTCTCTGGAGCGTGAGTCGTCTTGGGTTCTCCCACTCATATTCTTAACATGGGCCTACCGTAATTTCATATCTTTTCGTGGTAATTTAAATTACACCATGTTCTTATGTCTGTTTAAACGTAGACTATGTTTTACTACATTTAACTTATTTAACTATTTACTAACGCTGTTAATTATTTTTACAACAATTATTGTTAAATGACATTTAAGGTTATTTTCTGTATGTTACGTTCAGTTAATTGATAGGGTAATAAATTAACTTATAACATCTGATTGTACTCCGATATAAATTGTTAGTATATTGTGTTGAATCCGGCAAATTTATTTTGATTTCAGTTGATAATTACTACGTATAATTTTTTATTAGGCCCATTGCCTTTTATTTGATTTAAATATTGACCTAAAGTGATAAAACTGTTTCCGCGATATTGATAGTTATAGCCGGGCATAAAAATCTAATCTTCAACAATTATCGTGCTATTTGAACCGTGATGGCCTAATTTGTTTTAGTAATTAAATTTGTTTTAATAGTAATCACCTACATTCTACATTAAACAATATATTGTTTTGTCCATAAAACGGAGTATGGTTTGTTTTCTCATATTGATAATTTATATTGTCATAAAAATATTTTATGTTTTAGTTATTAACTCAAGAGTAGAAAAGGTTATTGTACAGTTTTCCTAATGGGAAACGTATCTAAATTTGCTTAAATTGTTTATCCTATTAGGACTCGTTATAAGCAAACGGGTTGGGAGCAAAGTTTAAAGAACTTTGTTCTGTCGTTGGGAGTGCTGCTACATTTAATAATAAATAGAACGGTACTGTATGTAAAAACTTGAACGTACAAACAAATATTTGTTATCCTCACCTAGTTACCTGGTAATGCCATTGAACACCTGACGAACTACCCAAACTGCGTTAGGCCCTACAGTACTTTACAACGGTAAGCACGCGGTTTTGAATGCTAAAAAATTTAAACCTCACACTGCACGTGTTCAAAACAAAGTTAGCGAATCGTTTGCGTAAGTTGATACGCCAAAATAGCTCCCGTGGAGCGGGGTTGCGCGATGACAGCGCTGGTAAATATAACCGACGGGTTTTGCAAACTCCGGCGCTTGGCCTAGTTGCGAATTTAGATGAGCACAATGGCGTGTAGTTCTGCCAATTGACCCGAATAAGGGCTTGGCGTCTAGTAGTTTTGCGAGGCCGGACGAAAATCCTGTTGCAAACTACTAGATAATGGATCATAAACTCGTTGGTGAGGTACAAGGTTTTAAAAACTTTTTTACTTAGTGAAAAATGAATTTAGATTGAGCTTCGTGATGACCTAACTTGCAAACAGGAAAACTCCACCATTAAAATGCCTCAGCTAAATGTTCGGGATGAATTTGAAAGAGATATATTTTCCAAACAAAACAAGTTGTTCCTAACATGATTTAACTGCAAAAGCAGTGCTCAGTACAACACATTTTTTCTTCTTATGCATATTTTTGGTAAGAGTTTACGTTTGTTTACGTGTTACATATAAAACGTTATAAATTATATTTTTAGTCCATCGAGCCGGATCAAAAAGGAGTCATCGACCTTTCGCGTGTGGAATCATTCCGGGTTTCACAATTCGAAAACGCGTTGCGGTGGCGGATTGAGCCAAACTTTCGTACTTTCACCAGGTCGTTGGCCGGAGAAAGTAGGGTCAGCGACCGCTCCTCACTGTTCCGTTGGTTCCGGCGTTCCCGTTCCCGTTCCTATCGTTTAGTTTCCCCTTGTTCCGTGTTGCGCCACTCTAACCTAATTTCCATCTTGTCCTCAATGTGGCATTGAGCGTGGCAATGATTTTCAGTGTTCATTATCTGTAGGCCTAAGTGTCGTATAACTAGGAATGTGGCAAGGAAAATGGGGGAAAGCAAGTCACAACTTATTGTATCGGAGACATTCATAGAATATTGTAAGTTTTACGTGAGGATCTTGAGGAGTTCAGGTGATGTTCACTGTAACGTTTTTTGCCATTTAGTCGGTTTTTAATCTAGTAAAATTGCGTGGATTCGTTATTACTGCTTTTTACGAAACCTGAAACTGCTGTTCGAGAAGACACGAAATATAATGCAAACGGAGTGAATCCACTCTTCAAACTACAAAAAAAAACTGGTCCATCATTCTTCAGCTCTGATACGAGACGCATCCATAAGCACGAAGGCTCTTGCCAACAACTCATTTACACTTTGCGCCCAACAGAACATTGACCAGTACTGTATTCCGCCACCACGCGGTGCTCAACTGAACGTGAACCCAACAGTATTCAGTCTCGCATTTCGCGACTGGAGGTCACGGACGTGGAACCCCCGCACATCCGTCTCTCTCGCACAATCCGGTCTCCAAGGTCCAGTCTCTAATGGAGTCCTTGTTTTTTATTCCGTCTTTGGGTTTTTTTTTACCTATACCGGTACTGAAACACTGAAAACGATCCCCATCTCTTTCAGTTGCGAAACGATTTCATGATGATTGGTTTTGCCAACAATCACCAAAGAATTATAACTACTATTATAACCTACTACTGGTGTAAATCTATTACAAAATAATATTTAAATCTCTATTTCTAGTATGAAAGCTGATGAAGATGTTTTATATCCCTAGCTCAAGTTTTAAGTTAGAGTAGGCTATATTATAACATGAAATTGATATTTCAAGTTGATGATATTTGATGAAACAACTATGATTACTTTTGGAATAACGAAGTTTAAAAAATCAACAATGTTTAGCTAACGTGTCAATTGTTTTTACAGTCCATATTTTACTATAAGATAGAGATAGGGTATTTTGGATCTCCTAAAACTTCCTCATCTCCTGGAACCTCCTCATGTCCTAGAACGCCACCATCTCCTACAACCTCCTCTCCTCTAGAACTTCCTCATCTCCTGGAACCTTCTCATGTCCTAGAACGCCACCATCTCCTACAACCTCCTCTCCTCTAGAACTTCTCATCTCCTGGAACCTCCTCATGTCCTAGAACGCCTCCACCTCCTACAACCTCCTCTCCTCTAGAACTTCTCATCTCCTGGAACCTCCTCATGTCCTAGAACGCCACCATCTCCTACAACCTATTCTCCTCTAACCTCCTCTTGTCCTAGAACGCCACCATCTCCTACAACCTCCTCTCCTCTAGAACTTCTCATCTCCTGGAACCTCCTCATGTCCTAGAACGCCTCCACCTCCTACAGCCTCCTCTCCTCTAGAACTTCCTCATCTCCTGGAACCTCCTCATGTCCTAGAACGCCACCATCTCCTACAACCTATTCTCCTCTAACCTCCTCTTGTCCTAGAACGCCACCATCTCCTACAACCTCCTCTCCTCTAGAACTTCCTCATCTCCTGGAACCTCCTCATGTCCTAGAACGCCACCACCTCCTACAACCTCCTCTCCTCTAGAACTTCCTCATCTCCTGGAACCTCCTCATGTCCTAGAACGCCACCATCTCCTACAACCTATTCTCCTCTAACCTCCTCTTGTCCTAGAACGCCACCATCTCCTACAACCTATTCTCCTCTAACCTCCTCATGTCCTAGAACGCCACCATCTCCTACAACCTCCTCTCCTCTAGAACTTCCTCATCTCCTGGAACCTCCTCATGTCCTAGAACGCCACCATCTCCTACAACCTCCTCTCCTCTAGAACTTCCTCATCTCATGGAACCTCCTCATGTCCTAGAACGCCACCACCTCCTACAACCTCCTCTCCTCTAGAACTTCCTCATCTCATGGAACCTCCTCATGTCCTAGAACGCCACCATCTCCTACAACCTCCTCTCCTCTAGAACTTCCTCGTCTCATGGAACCTCCTCATGTCCTAGAACGCCACCACCTCCTACAACCTCCTCTCCTCTAGAACTTCTCATCTCATGGAACCTTTTCCTCTCCTAGAACCTCCTCATCTCTTAGGCCCTCATCCGCTGCTAGAACTTCCACATCTAATAGAGCTTCATCTTCCTAGAACCTCCTCCTCTCCCAGAACCTCTCCTCAGTCTTCATCCCTTGACCTCCAGATTATACAGTGTCTGATGGTCTCGCAGGTGGTCCCTAGGGACTCGACGACTCTGTTGTCGGCCCACTACCGCCTCGACTCTCACCCCCACGTCAACTCCCTCCAGGAGGTGCTGCTGGGTGACAAGCTCATGTACCTGGTGTTCCCGCCGTCCCACGGTGACCTCCACTCCCACGTCAGGCACCGGAAGAGGCTGCGGGAACCGGAGGCGAGACGGTTATTCAAGCAGATGGCGGAGACGGTTAGGGCGTGTCATGACCGGGGCATCGTGCTCAGGGATCTCAAGCTGAGGAAGTTCGTGTTCGCTGACCCTCAGAGGTAAGATTTGATGTCAACTGTAATGTGCAGATACTGACGTAGACTTTCTACATTTATCATCTTTATTATTGATTACAATTTAGTATTCTAAAACATCCTCGAAGATAAAAATGTCTGCGTTCGGTAATTACCACGTCCAGCAGACTGTCTGCTGGACGTGGTAATTACCGAACATTCGTTGTTGAGTTTGTTTCCACGTGTTAAATTTCCATCACGAACGCAAGTGTGCATCTGTTCAAAGTCTATCGAATTTCTACTTCAGTATCTGTACTCCTAGGTGGAAGTTATGTTTTTTTTTTTTGACAACGATAAAATGACAGTGGTGCCTCAGTAGGCCCTCTTATATTAGAAATGTTAGTGCGCATACAATGATGCAACTGACAGTTACAATACATTTTCAATATCTGGCAGTGAGATGACCGCCACGTGTATAACTGTCGACCTTGGACCAGGCAAGTAAACATATTGCTACATCCACCAGCTGATTTAACGCCATCGCGTCACTTTGTCATGCATATTCTCAACTTATATATTTTATATTCGCAATCGTGACGTGTATGTTTATTCGGTGGAACCCTTAGACATTTTAAAAATACTTAAGATTTTATTATAAAAGGTTTGTGGAAGCACGTGTTAAGTTATTTCATCAGTTCAAAACCTTTTCATTTTACTAACACGCATTTACAATTTGTAACTAGGAAGCAAACTGATTTTAATTTCACCCGCCTATTTCAATATTATTACTATCCATTTAGTTCCAAGACATTTACAAAAGAAGCACCTGACTTTACGCGTCCACGTGATCAATATTAGCATACCATTGACTCCCCACGTCCCACCCCCACCCCGCCTCGGTTGCTTCATCTTGTTATTCTTGGCTGCATAAATACAGTCGGAAAATTCCCTTCTTTATTGTTTTTTCCAACATTACCTAATCAAACGCTAATGTAATAAGTGATGATTCAAAGTATGGATTTCATCAACATATTTTTCCACTTTGTCTCATTGGGATTTTACAAAGCGTTCAGTGTTTGAGGGTCACTTGATAGTGACTAGGAAAACGGATTTGTCTTTAAAAAGTATAATTCGTAGTAGTAATAGTTTTGTAGTATGACAACATAACTATGTTTATCGGTATAGTTAGTTTGATTGTCAATTAAGTGTTACGTTGTTCACGTATAAGTATATATTGAACATAGCTTATTTAAAACTCAAGCATTAGAAAAAAGTCCTTTTTAATTTTTTTTTTCAATTGCAAACCTTCTTTCTTTTCAAAATATTAGTTTTTTATATTTGATCTGTAATTAAAAGTTATTTTCGTGTTTAACAAACGATGGTTTATACCATACTCACGTGAAATAATTAATAGCAATATCATTGTATACGGGCCTTCCATAAGATGCAAAATCGCCTGTTATTTTGAATATACTACCCTCAGATGTTCTATTTAAATAACCTGTTGTCGTCATCTTGCAGATCAGGACCGATTTAGGCTTTAACCTCCATAATATTACATCCCAAAATCAAGCCGCCTGTTGTCGATATGTGTGGCTGGTTCAATTCTCTGTTGTCGTCATCTTACATAATTATACTGTGTGAAACGATCTACTTTACCCCCATGATCTTCGTACCGACATAAAATCACCTGTTATCGACTGGTGTGTTGTGTGGGTGGCTGCAGACAGCGGCGGCGCGAAGTGGCAACACCGCCTCATCGTTGCTCTTGCCTCACTCTAGTGATGAAACCGGAGGCCTAGCGTCATCTTGCACCAAGGTTGGCCGCCACTGCCCTCTGACGAAATGCATCCTAACTATTAATACGGGCAGGCCTACACGCGGTCCGTCGCCACGTGGCGAAGCGCACATCTTGTAATGGAATGAAGTTTGTCATCTTCCACCTTCTATCTAACAGAATATAGGGTTACTTTTATTGTCAGTTCTTTGAGTTTTGTGAATATTCCATTTCAGTATACGATGTAATCGCCTTCAAAAAGACCAAACCAACAAGGAAAGCCATAAGAGTCTGTTTGTTTCATTTCGTTGTAAGCTATATTAAAGTTGTTTGTCAGACATTTTTTCAAGACGGATGTTTCGTAAGCGACTGCGTCTTCTAATGAGTTGTCTATCTCAGGGAGGCAAAGCGAGGGATGAAAGTTGATGACCTTGTCACACGGCAATAGTAGACTAATACCACAGTATGTTGAAACTGGGGTAGTTATGATTGACATTGAAACAATTCTTATCATAAAATCTACTGATGAAACGTAGTTACACAATGGACCGTGATAAGAGTGGCTGATGAAACATTCGGTAACATGTCAGGGTAGGTCGACTGATAACATATTTAGGCGCATCCGGAGAACATTGAATGAGACGCTTGTTTAATCTTGGTTGAGATTATCTTATCGCTAATTGAACAAATTGGTTCATTAGTTGGTGGATTTCGTTTTTTTTATTTCCCAGTATGTGCGTGGCGGTGATTAGCCGGATAGATAATGAATTTTATCGCTTTAAGCATTTTATTCTCCTTTAATTTGGTTAACTAATCACTTGCGATAGGTTACATTGTTCTAAGGCCCACTACGGGGAAAATAGTAAATTTTGGGGGAATCTGCTACTCAAATATCTCAACAATTCTTGTAAAACATCAAAATCACCAAATTGATGATTTCTGTGTGATCTACTACTGAAACTGCTCTAGTATCCTCCTAAGTTGCTCTTAAAAGGCTGATCAAGCAGACCGCTTACAATTTCCCAAGCCGGAAACTCTTGTAGACCGAACCGTCTCACAATCGTTCCACAAAGAACGTCTGACTGGCTACAAAGACGGGTCGTTGGTTAAATTGCCGAGTGAACGACCCCTTGGTATGCGGCGAGGGGCGGAGCCCCCCTCCCACCGCGGTAGACACCGTGGAAGGTCATGGCTGCATGTCCACGAGGAAGGTAAAACGTCTTGAGAATCCTTCAAAATTCCTTCAACGTCGATTTGGGATAGTCGCCCTATGATTTGCGGCATTTTCCTGTCAGAAATCACGATATTTTATACGAGAATGTTCCTTAAATCCGACCCATAGGTACTAAATATCACGAAACAGTATGCCTTTTAGAAATATCAATGTTCATTCTATTTCTTGCAGAACAAATTAAAGTAAATTATTATAATACTCTGTATATGTATATTTAGTCAAAGGTTACACATAATGTGGTATTTTTTATTTGCACTAAAACAGAAGTAGTATGAGAAACTTCCATGTGAAATACTGTACCGAGTTCGAAAGACATTGATTAATAATTAAAATATAATGAAGTTTAAATATATGGTAGAGCTTAGCGAAAAATTTGATGGCATTCGACAATTTTATGAGTTTAAACATACGTCCATTGCTTTATTTCACATTAAACTCTCAAAGTTGCAAACGGGATAATTTATTTCACCCCTATTGGCACTGTAGAAACAGAATCGATATACAGTATTCGATACATTAAACGCTAATGTAATTTCGAACTGTTGCCGAGAAACAGAATCGATATACAGTATTCGCTACATTAAACGCTAATGTAATTCCGAACTGTTGCCGAGAAACAGAATCGATATACAGTATTCGATACATTAAACGCTAATGTAATTCCAAATTGTTGCCGAGAAACAGAATCGATATACAGTATTCGATATATTAAACGCTAATGTAATTCCGAACTGTTGCCGAGTTTGCGAAAGAGCGGGGAACAGGTTTATTGCCAAATCGACGAGAGCGGCTCGAAGTTAACTAACGTTTAACACATAGTTACGAAAACATGAATGATGGAGTTACAGACATCTAGTTGGCAACTGCATGCATGACTCATGCGTGCCATCTTGCTCAATATAACAAACATTGTATTGCTGCATGAACGCCACGTTGAACGTTATGTAAATTTGTCTGTGAAGCTTTTAATAGTGGATTGTTGTATTGTTTTGCATTTTCTATTAATCTATTTTACATTATTTTCAGTGCATTGAAAAAATTAAATGCTGTTTGAAAAAACCGCGTGTGATTTGTTTTATTGTTGCAGAACTTTAAATTAATTGTGGAATTTGCCGAAAAAAAACTATTTCTGCTATTTAAAAAATAAGGTCTGAAGTCATTTCGTGAAATATTCTTCATCCAAAGAGATTAAGAACCCAAATAATTTTAGATACGATCTTAAAAGTCTGGGGAGCGACCTCTGGTTTAGAGCGCGGGCTTCAGTACCTATCCGAAGTCCCGGGTTAAAGAATACCGCACATCGCCAATTGATTTTAGTGATAATGCCACGACCATCTAGGACTAGCCTGAAGTAATGTGTAAAACGGCGTCGGGCTTCAGCCTAGCGGTCTAGAATGTGAAAGTAAGACCGAAATTAATCTCTTCCACTGTCGATGTCAATCGAAATCACTCATACTCCTTCATGTTTGATGATTCGCTGATGCCCGTCTAATCCTTTTGTCAGAATGAAAGGGCCGAACCACAAACTAGCCTTGGTCCTCGACAAGTGTTAACCTACCTGTGTGGCCTTGAAATGTGGTCGGTGACGCAAGGCGCGAGACGCCAGATTTGGCAACATGGCGCACCAAGGTGGGCCTCTTACAATGTCAACCTTGGATCGTGTGCCAACGCCGGCCGACATCAATCTTGACAGAATTATTGTAACTCGTGAATGCCGCGATAAAGTACGTGATTTAATACACCTGTGTGGTACATTTTACTTAACAACCTGGGTATTTTTTTGTTTTTCTCCGCGCAAATTATAATTTTGTACGTGGTAATGGAACGGTCCAAACCTTGTCTTGCCAAACCTAGTCTGCTCGTTTGAATCGCGTAGGGCTTAAGTTTTGATCGTAAAACTGTTATGTCTTTCCAAAGGTTGAGTGTAGTGGGTCCTTGCATGTACAAGGTGCTTCAATTGACTCACAAAATAACACACTGAAAACTATTCATATTCCACCTCAATTTTCAAAGTCGAATAAAATCCACTTAAGC